GGGCCCGCGACGGCACCCGCGGCTGCCCCGTCCCCCGGAGGAGGTCAGAAACGGCTTTTTCCAAAACAATAAACTTTTAATGCTAAAGCAGTTATAACCAAAAGCTGTACAGAGTTGGATTTTTTTCTGTTGTTGTTTGTAATTTTTGTTTTGTTAGAAAACAATTTTTTCTCCCCCATAAATATTGTTCAGTTCCCGGCACTTTGTATCAATAATTAAATTACGAACGATAAATATGGCATCATGGATATGTATTTACAAAAAAGTTATTACAAAAAGGCAACTGTTATACTAAACGTCACAATCTGGGTAGAATAAACACCACATCCTCATCCTGAAAAATACTGACCGACCCCATCAGACGAGAATACATTCACAAGTGTAATGCTTGGAGAGAGAGAGAGAGAAGGAGAAAGAGGAGGAGAGCAGAGAAAGAAGCAGCAGGAGAGCTAGAGAGGAAAGTTCAAGACATAACAGGACTTTGGCACGGTTTAAGACTGTAAGTTTAAACAATCACCACTAAGGCGAAGGAGAATTTTCATCCTCATGTCAACATCCCTCCGAAAGAAGGAAAACCAAATCAAATTAAAAATAAAGTGAGGAATCGGAGGAAGAGAGACCGGGGCAGGGAGGAAAAAAAAATCTCAAAGAAACAACTGCGACTGCAAAAAATGACAACAAAAAAAAAAAGAAATCCAATCCTGAGAAAAGGACATGACTAGTCCAGCGTCTGGGCTTGCAAAAAGTAGTAATAATTATAATATAATAATAAAAGACACCCCCCCCTCTGGATCCTGGCAGTTAACTAGGTGTAGCCCTATGCGGTCGTTGGTGTGGAAACTCCATTTCCGTGGGAGCGAGCTGCAGTTGGCTTGGTTTGTCCTTTTTTTTTTTTTTTTCCTTGTTCCCAACGCATTTGGTCCAGTCTCTGGCCGGGCAGCAGCTGCCTTCACACATACCACTCATTAAAATTGGGGGGCAGTCCAGGGTTGTGGCCGGGGTTACTCTGAAGGGCGGCCGGCGGCGTTTTAGTGGAGTCCTTACTGCCAGCGGAGCCCACTGCAGGGGGAGTGGAGGACTCGTACCCCGAACTGGCTGCAGGGGAAGAGTCCGACCCCTGGGATTCGTGCACCTAAAACCAAGAGGCAGAGATGGGAACGAGCCTGGGGTCCCCGCCACCCCGCTGAGCCGGGTCGGGATGCTCCCCCATGCAGGAGGGACATTGGGGTCCAGCGGCTCAGCCCCTGCCTGGCCACCCCGAGCACTGGCAGCAAACGCCTGCCTCGGCTCCCAGCCACTTCGCTGCAGCGTCCCGGCGTGGGGGCCTGCAGCCATAGGCCAGGGTGGATTTGCACAGCCCTCCAGCACCGAGCCACGCTCTGGAAACCAGGCAGCGCTTGGACCGGTGGGAGCACAAAAAGAAAACTACGCCATTTCCCCGGGCTGTGCTCCAGCCACGGCCTAGACAACCGGGGACCACTCGAGCTGTGCGGGACCGTGGAGCACAGCGGCAGGCACCGCTCAG